TGGTTTAGTATCTAAAGCGGATATTATTAGTCTAACATGAACAGCCATGTTTGTTCGCCTGTTGTTTTCAGTTGACCCAAAAACAACAGGTAAACAAAAACAGATGTTGATGTAACCTAAATTTAGTTTCGTTGTTTTCCTTATTTCGAAAATGGTTTAGTATCTAAAGCGGATATTATTAGTCTAACATGAACAGCCATGTTTGTTCGCCTGTTGTTTTCAGTTGACCAAAAAACAACAGGTAAACAAAAACAGATGTTGATGTAACCTAAATTTAGTTTTCTGAAATTTGCTATGATCTGACGTAGGAGAAAGATGAAAATGAAATAAATTTGGACCTATTTATGACCGTTGTTTTGTTTTTATGGTTTTACTTAAATTTTCAGCTAATCAAGTAGGAAAAAGATTGAAATGAAATAAATTTGGACCTATTTATGAGCGTTGTTTCGTTTTTACGGTTTAAGTTAAATTTTCAGGTAGTCAAAAAATATCAGGACAAAATTTGGCAATTATGGAAATGATTTATATGCTATTTTTGGTTTTGTGCAATTCTTTGGAGGACTATTTATTGTTAGGAAATCAAAAGCTTTAGGTTTAGAAGAGAAATCCTCGACCAGTAGCCCCCATCAGAGAGATTCTTAGTAACTATCAGCTCAATTTGATGTCATTTGTGAAAATCCACCCAAGCCAGACCAATGCGATTCAGTGCTCAGTTCTCTGCCCTCGAATCATCCGTCGACACACCTACTACGTGAGCCGGGGAGCACGTTCTTGCACCCCCGTTTTTCGTCCTCAACAGTGAAACATTCCCAGACATATTGTTTGCAGACAAGCAACTTTCTTGATCGAAATGGTTATCTATCTATTTTCTTGGAAAAAGGTGTGGTATTATAACAAACAGAATGAAACTCTAAGAACACGAGAAGCAAACTCTCACCTTCCTTCACGCTGTCCTCCCCACTTGGGAACAAACGGCCAAATCTTCCAAGTGTCCAACTGCCCCCAGCGTGAACTACAGGATCAGATAAAGTTTCCCAGGATTTCTTAGTTGGAATATCTCAGAGGACATCAGAATTCCCACCTTCTCAGAGGCAGAGCTTCCACAGCCCAACAGGGACGAGGTTGGCTAGATTTAAACATGACCTTTCCCAAGTGATGGGCTCCTAATCTTGTGCGTGTGCCACCTGAGGTCTGAAATTAAATAAGAACTTAAAAAAAAATAATGAAATGCTAATGGCCTTAGAAACCAACCAACAATTCTTGATGACACCACTGGTTTCCCCATGAAATGACTCCAAAATGAAGAATAAGTGAATAAATTCTATACTAACGATGTGTCACTACCCAGATCTGGTAGTGCTTCTGATACGTCGTGCCACAAAGATAATATGTCTCAACCAATCAGAAGCCATACCCAGATATGGCTAGTGACATGTCATGAGTCACCATTTTGCGGGAAAACCAGTGATAGCATCTCGAAAAGTCAGCTGTTTTCAAAGGCTTAGCTAAACTAAGCCTAACAAAAAAAGTTAATAATATTAAGATAACTAATGCAAGCTCATTAGCATATTTAAAACAAAACAGTTACTAGATATTTCTTGGTGCTACAAGACATAGTGCCCTCATAATGTATACATGTATTTAACTAATGCTCTGATTATGTGCAGAAAAAATGGAAATGAAAAAGAATGCCAAGGAGTCAATTCCCAAAAGTGACATGCCAGACCTTTCGAGAACCTATGGAAATTTAAAAAAAAAAATTCCAGAGAGCAAATGCAGCACAAGAAAAAGTTAATATAATTAAATAGAATATAAATGCAATCAACAGTCTGCAGTCTGTGAAAGCTGTGCAAAAGAATAAGTTCTCAAAAGTTCATAAAAATTGTTTTAGTTTTGAAAAGATCAGCAACTTCGAAAACATTCTAACTTACTACTTCAAGTTGCCTAGAAAAAAATTAAGCAGAAGCAGACTGGAGATTGCCTTAGACGTAATGTTCATGTAAGCTTATGAATAATCTACTTTGCTTTATAATACTTAAGATCCTAATTTTCCTAAGATTTTTCCCAGGCTCACTGTTTCTTAAGAATTTCCAGTTGCTTTGAGTTCTTTTTTTGTTAATTAATCTCAAGATGGCAAAATCCTTAGTTCACCGACCTTACGTTGAAGTGCCAACAGAGACCAAAATCAATCATCAACTTATTAACAATAACAAAAAAATGAAACTCTACCTACTTGATACTTTCATACATTCTCCTTACTAGTACCATAAGAGAGGTAAAAAGGAACAGTAAGGAGAATTTGTCAAGTGAAATTGGGACTTCAAGGATTAAGGTCACTGTGGTTAATTGCTTTGCGATTCCTATCCATACTGTGCTATGTAAATGAAGATCCAATTCCAGCTGTAGCTTCCTGGCCACTGATGGCCAGAGAGATGCCTTGCCTGACAAAGCTTATCTTTTCCCTTAATGGAAGATCATCATAAGTTTTATGATCAAGGTGTCTACATTCTACCAATATAATTATATTATAGCTCATAGGTTATCTGTATTGCCATGATGTTGTCATGAAAATTTAAAGATGTATACCTGTACAGTACTACTATTCTTGCAGCCTGTACAGTCCCTGACTGAGGTAATATATTACTTAGGAGGTTTAGAGTTAATAATGTGCTAATGAGCTTGCTGAAGACTGTTTAATTCTAGCATAAAATTAACACTAATACTGTATAAGTGGAATCCTGGTCCTTTGAACCTCTTGATTATTCAAATTAAAACTTGTTTTTCGTCCCCTGAAGTCACTCTATTTTTTATATTTCGCCTTGGGTTTTCTCAAACAGAAAATGGCAAGAAAGCCCAAAGCCCAAAACAAAGCTTAACATCTCTCTAATTCTTTGAACTCCTAGTTTTGTAAAACCAATTTCCATTTTCACAGGAGGTTCAAAAAATCATCGTTCCACCGTGTTACGATAACATAGGAAGCACAACAACTCCTGTAATGAAGACGAGTTACAATAGAAAGTGGATCTGTGAAAAGAATTGAGTGTGTGGCGAACTTTAACAAAAGGAATAAAATTAAAGCAAAGTTAAAAAATTCTGCCTGTGTGATTAATGTTTGCTGTGATAAGGTTGTAATGCTTCCCATGCTTCTAAAGATACAGGCAACACTGTGCTTCCCGCTGTAAAAAAAAATGAAAGTCAGTGAATAGCTAATGCATTTTGACTGGTATTCCCAGACAATAACCCGGAAAACAAAGCCACTCCCACCTACACAGGCAGCACAATGTCATCAACTGTATATGTGGCAAAAAAAGCTCTATAAGCCCCAGCCTACCCCCCCAAACTATCACTGATCACAGCCTCCATTTCCAGACCAGATTTTTAACCTGATCCCCCTTAGTATTTATTTCATCCTCCACAACTTACCTTGAAAGCCATTCCATTTGCAGGAAATGTCAGGAACTGATTTCCATCAAACCAATGCAAAACGATTTTGCCAGTTTGTACAAGATTATTGATCAAAACGACCACCTTTTCCCCTAATTTCTCCTTCCCTATTGAGATAAAAAAAAACCTTTCTCCCCCCCCCCAATCGTTTACCCCCCTCCCGACCTCTAACTCCTCCAACCCTCCTTAAAAGGCAGGTAGGGGCTTAATTGAGCTTTTCCGGTTTTAGGTATGTAATAATCTATAAAATATGTAACCTTACCCACCTAACAACTATAACTTTATATTAAATACTATAATAATATCATTATCACTATTATTTTAGCAAGATTTCCTTTGAGCAGTGAAGCACTAGGCCCGAGGGTGGTACTTTATGAATTTTTGGGTGGGGATGTGTCACTGGGACCCTGAACCCTTAGCCCATACCAAAACTAGTTCAGCTCAATTTTGCTATTCTTTACCACACCAAACTGGTCTTAAATTATTTTTTGAAACAATTTCTCTGTATCTAGTTAGCAGATGAAATACTGTCTTTCATCTTTGATAAAATTGCCAAATCCTGAGGAAATGTCATTTCTAATTACTAATTAATATAATCATTCTTGGCTACAGAGTTTCATTCACCATTGTCTTGCAAGAATGAACCCTTTTCCCTTTTCTTCCCAGAGGTGAATAACCTTTGTAAAATTGAATAATGTATGTACTACTCAAAGGAATCTTGTGTTTGAACCTAATTTGTAAGTGGTACAAATAAGCCTCTAGATGTTTTTCAAAATATGACTTTTTTTGGAACAAAATAATCCAATTGGAAAACTTTGCCTAATTGATAAGTCTCTGTCCAGTTGTTAAATTGAACTGGATCGTGACTCATTTACTTCAAAAACTAAAGAAACTTTTGATAAAATTTTCTCATTGACACTTTTTTTTTGTACAAAAATGGTGGCACACACACTGTATAATATATCATTATTCTTGTAATACAGATACCTTAAGTATTCCCTCCAATAGTGAATTACAGAATTCCTAATTAAAATTTGATCTCACTACATATTCAGCAATCTACTCCATGGCTGAAATGTGCTAAAGATCCTAAAGTGACTTAATTTTGATTGAATAAATGAAGTAGGTTTTCTTTGAACTTGGAAAGCTGTAAGCTATGGGTAGAACTCAAAGAAAAAAATATTGCAAGTGAATCAATTCACTCCTGTTGGGAATACCATGGACCTGCTTTGAACAATGCATGAAGCCCTATTTGTTGAAATAGTCAATATTCTTTGGTTTTTGGTTTTTGTTTTTGGTGATTTTTTTCACTGCCAAACTAAACGAATTTGCCTATTGCTGTTGAATGGGGGTTGTGGAACAACAGCTGGGTGAAAAACCTCCCCGTACGTCCACTTGCTCCTAGGAGGAAAACCCCGGGCCAGCTGTACCCCGCATTCAATGACCTCCCGGGCAGGGTCAGAAATATTCTAAAACCCAGTACCTGTGTTGAGGCAGAGTAGTGTTTGTAACAGTAAGTAATAAATTATATGATTATATAAATACTAAACTAGGTATTAATAATGAGTTGACTTTGATGATACCAGCCTCTTCACTGTTGGCTTTTGAACTCCTGCTATTGATGAATTGCAGACCAGTTTGCCAAATCCGCTCTTCTTTTCAGCCTGAGAAAAAAAATAAGAATTCATTTTTACTCAATTGTTAACTTCTTTACGACTCCTTGCTGACTTTTGGCATGTAGGTATTTTTTGAGTTCAACGTCTAAGATTGAGTCACAAATGTAAATGACTTCATAGGAGGGGTGAAGCTACCTGACCACATGGTGCACATGTGAATCCCTAAAAAAGCCTGCAAGACTGACTGCAATGATTAAGATGACTAATGAGGTAACTAGGGTGACTTGAATGACTGGGATAACTGGAATGACTAAGATGACTGGAGTAACTGGCATGACTAAGATGACTAAGGTGACTGGGGTGACCAGGATGACTGGGATGATTAGGATGGCAAGGGTGAATATGATAATTGTGAAGACTAGGATATAGGATGGCTGGGGTGACTGGGATGACTGGAAATGATATGGATGACTGGAATGACTAGGAGGACTGGGTTGACTGGGATGACTGAGGTGACACAGATGACTGGGATGACTTGGATGATTGGGATGACTTAGGTGACTGGGATTACTGGGATAACTGTGATGACAGGGATAACTAGAAAAACTGATGACTAGGATGACTTGGATGACTGAGATAACTGAGAGATAACCAGGATGACTGGGATGATTTATGCTGCTGGGATGACTAGAATAACTAGGATGATTGAGATGACTGGAGTGACTGAGATGAAAAGGATATGTAGAATTACTGTGATGACTAGGGTGTCTGGTATGACTGGGATGAATAGGATGAGTAGGATGACTGGGATGACTGGGATAACTCGGGTGACTGAGATGACTAGAGTGACTGGAATGAGTGGGATACTAGGATGACTGGGATGACTACGGTTACTAGGATAACTAAGATAACAAGGATGACTGGGATGACTATAAATTATTAGAATAACTAGGACGAGAGGATGACAGGGATAACTAGACTGCCTGGAATGACTAGGTTGCAGGGGGGGTGTACATTTTTTTGAACAAAACATTTAAGGATATTTTTTCAAGGACACATTTCCCATTTTTCAAAGATTCCAATCAGAGACTTGAGTCTATGACTTTTAATGTACTATTAGAAAAATGCTTTGTTGTATAATTTCCCTTTTTATAAAAGTAGCCAAAACACTAAACGAAGAGGCAGCAAAATTGAGGATATCAGAAAATTAGCCAAAACAACTACCAACAATTTTCTGCATGTGCAATGAAAAGTTGATTACAACTCAAAATTCATGCACGTGCAAGAGTTTTGCAAGTGCACTGATATTTTGTAAGTTTCTTTACTATTCATTGCTAGGCCACTGCCGCCACAAACATTTAACATTGAACATTAATTTGCAATTGTAGCTTTTGTTTTCTGACACTAAAACAATGGCTACACTTCTAAATTACACTTGTAAAAGATTTATTAAATTGACTCCAGGAACACATGGAGGCAGATTTGTCAGTGGACAATAGTCATGCTGTAACCATTAAATTTCCAATATTTCACATGATGATATAGGATGACTTATACACGCAAAAATGTCAGAAGCACATTTTGGAAACAAGAGCCCCATTATGTCTCTTGTTAAAAAGTAAAACATTGGGTTTACTGTGAACAGAACATTGGTTGCCATGACAACTAACCCTGGATCTTCAAAGAACCTGTCGAAACTTTCTGCAACTTGCAGAAGATATGTATACATTTTTTAACTAATTAATTTTAATTTGCAGAATATTGGTAGCACTACTTTTTGCACCAGTTTTGAAAGTCATGTTGACTAGAGTGATGTTTATGTTGCTTATGCATGCACTCTTGAATGCATTCTCATGTACTCTTCGTAGGAGGTTTGAGCCTTTAGCCCCATGCTTGACATGCTGGCAGACAACAGAGTATATTAACTGATTTTACTGACCTTACCAATTCGACTGTTTTTATTCAGTTTATCCTGAGAAACCTTACAAACGATAAAGGTTAGTTTTATTCTCCTCAGCCCATTCTTATTGGATTTTTCTGCTCCACTTTTTGTCTTATTTCTTCTCTGATGTTTTCTGCGATTTTTCGAACCAATTTTTTGTCAATTTTTTGTTCAATATTTTTGGCCAATTTTTTGTCCCATTTTCTTTTTCTCCCATTTCTTGTCCAAATTTCTTTCCAATTTTTTGGCCAATCTTTCCTCCGATTTTTTGTCCAATTTCACGTCCAACTTTTTGTTCATTGTTTGTATGATCGTTTGTTCAATTTCTCATCTGATTTTTTCGTACGATTTCTTGTTCATTTTTTTTCCCAATTTCTTGTAAGATTTTTAACCCACTTTTTTTTGGGGTCCGATTTTTTGTTCGATTTTTTGGTCTGATTTTTTGTTCGCTTTTTTGTCCAATTCTTGTCCACTATTTTTTTGTCCGATTTCATGTCTGATTTTTTTTCTCTGATTTTTTGCCTGATTTATTGTCTAATTTCTTGTCCCATTATTTGCCTGATTTTTCTTGTCCAATTTTTTGTCTGATTTCTGGTAAGATTTATTCCCTGACCTATTTTCCCATTTTTGTCCAATTTTTTTGACAGATTTCTTGTCCGATATTTTTGACTGATTTTTTGTCCGATATTTTTAGTCCGATTTCTTGTCCAACTGTCAGATGTCTGATGTCTTATCTCAAATATCTGATGTCTGATGTCTTATCTCCAATATCTGATGTCTGATGTCTTATCTCCCATATCTAATGTTTAATATCCGATGTCTGATGTTCCATGTCCGATGTCCCATGTCCAATGTCTGATGCCTAATATCTGATGTCTGATGTCCAATGTTTGATTTTCTATCTCTGATGTCCCATGTCCCATTTTATTGTCTGACTTCGTCCAACTACTTGTCCGCTCGTTTGTCTTATTGTTTGTACATTTTTCGTCTGAATTTTATGGTCCAATTTTTTGCCAAATTTTTTGTTCCATTTCTTGTCTGATTTTTTTTGTACGATTTTTCTTGTCTGATTTCTTGTAAGATGTTTTGTTCCATTTTTTTGTCCGCATTCTTGTCCGATTACTTACTCAAATTTTTGTCCTATTTTTTGACCAATTTTTCGTCCGATTTTTTGTCTGATTTCATGTCCAATTACTTGTGCGATTTTTTGTCCGATTGTTTGTCCCATTGTTTGTTGTCCGATTTTTTTGTCTTATTTCTTGAAACATTTTTCACCAAATTTATTTGTCCAATATTTTGTCCGATTTCTTGTCCGATTTTTGCCAGATTTCTTTGTTCCTTTTTTGTCCGATATTTTTGCCTGATTTCTTGTCAAATTTTTGTCCAATTTTTTTTGTCAACTTGTTGTCCGATTTTTTTTGTCCGATTTTTTTGACCCATTTCTTGTATGACTGTTGGATGTCTGATGTCTTATGTCCAATTTCTGATGTCTTTAGTCCGATGTCTAATGTTCCATGTTCTATATCCCATGTCCAATGTCCATGTCTGATGTCCAATTTTCGATGTCTGATGTCCAATGACTGATGTCTTATGTCCAATATCTGATTCCGATGTTTGATGTCCTATGCCTGATTTTTGATGTCAGATATCCGGTGTCCGATTTTCGATGTCTGATATCAGATGTCCAGTGTCCAATGTCCGACGACTGATGTCCGATTTTCAATGTCCAATGTCTATTAAATGTCCAATGTCTAATGTCCAATGTCCCATGTCTGATGTCCCATTTTCGATGTCTGATGTCCATTTTCCTATGACCCATGTACCACGTACGATTTTTCTTCCGATTTTTTGTTCAATTTCTTGTCCAATTTTTCGTCTGATTTTTCCTGTTCAATTTTTGTCCAATTTTGTTTGATTTTTAGTCCTATTTTCTTGTCCAATTTATTGTCTGATTTGTTTCCTGACGTCTTGTCCCATTTTTTGTCCGATTTCTTGTGTGATAGTTTGTCTCATATCTTGTCCGATTTTTCTTGTTCAATTTCTTGTCAAATTTTTTGTCTGATTTTTTGTCAGATTTTTTGTCCCACTGTCAGATATGTCTGATGTCTGATGCTCCACATCCCATGCCCCATGTCCAACGTCTGACGTCCGATTTTCGATGTTTGATATCTGATGTCTCATGTCTTACCTCTGATGTCTGCTGTCCTACAGTTACTGGGATAACTGAGCTGGGATGATTATGACTAGAATAACTAGGACGAGAGGATGACTGGGATGACAGGGAAAACTGGGATAACAAGGATAGCTAGAATAAACAGGATGACAGGGTTGCAGGGTTTGTACCCTGTTTTGATAAAAAAATTCCAGCATTTTTCAAGAATACCAATGAGAGACTTAAGTCTGTCTTTTTTAGTTCTTTCACAACATGACTGCAATAATTTTTACCCTGAAGGTCAGTTTGCTCCTTTAAGCACTTGACGATCTGGGTTGGATAAAGTTAGCACTGAAATTCAAGAACTTTCCAGCACTGACTGCAATTTTCAAGGACTTTCAAGGTGCATGTGAACCCTGAGGTGTATTCATGTAAGAAATTTGTGCAGGAAAAAGGCAATTAGAGAATCTGTGTCCTTTCAATTCTTGTAATTAACTGGAGTGACTGGGTTGGCTTGGATAACTGGGATGACTGGGAAGACTAGGATCACTGGGATGGCTAGGAGGACTAGGTTTACTGGGATAACTGGGGTGACAGGGATGACAAGAGTGACTTGGATGATTAGGATAACTTACTAGGTGACTGGGATGACTGTGATAACAGGGATAACTAGAAAAACTGGGATAACTAGGATGATGAGATAACTGAGATGACAAGGGTGCCTGGTATGACTGGGATGAAAAGGATGACTAGAATGGCTAGAATGACTGAAGTGATTTGGATGCCTGGAATGAAGGGAATGACTAGGAGGACAAGGATGAAGGGAATGAATAAGATGACTGGGATGAGTGGATTGAGTGGGATAATAAGATGACTTGGATGACTACGGTTACTGGGATAACTGAGATAACCAGGATGACTGGGATAATTTGCATGATTAGGATGAAAAGGATGAATAATAATGAGATGACTTGGATGGCTGAGATGACTGGGATAACTAGGGTGACTGGGATGCTTTGAATGACTTGCATGATTAGGATGAATATTAATAAGATGACTGACTACAACAACTAGGACAATAATTGGCAAGACTACGATGAATAGGATGACTTGGTTTACTGAGATAACAAGTGACAGGGATGATTGTGATGAAACAGAAAAGTAGAATTACTGGGATGATTAGGATGAATGAGGTAATGAGATAACTGAGATGACTAGGGTGATTGGGATAACTGATAACAGGGATATTTTGAATAAAAGGGATGACTGGGATGAATGGGGTGACTGTGATAAATGGAATGACTGAGATGGCTGGGATAACTATGATGACTACAGAGACTGGGATGACTAGGATGAATGGGTTGACTGGGATGACTAAGGAGACAGACACAACAGTGGTGACCTCATTGACTGGGACAACTAGGGTGGGTGGGATAATTAGACTGACTGCAATGACTGGGATGACTGTGTTGACTGGCATAGCTAGGATGGCAGGGATGACAGGTGAGAATAGACTGACTAAGATGACTGGGACAACTGGGGAGACAGGAGTGACTAGGATGACTTGGATGACTAAAGTGACTGCAACGACAGCAACTACTGGGTTGACTAGGACGCTTGGGTTGGCTTGGATAACTAGGACGAATAGGATGACTGGAATAAGTTGGACTGGTAGGATGAGTGGGATGATTTCATGAAGGAGCCGGAAAAAGGTTTGATACTTTAAAGGGGGAAACAGTGGGATTTGGAATTGTGTGTACCTCTGGAAAAATCCTAAACAAAATGTAGTAGTCTCATAATGGTTAAGAAAGTTACAAAAACTGATACCTGAAATGCCAGGAATCACCAATGGAGGACCATGATCCCTCTGCTTCTTGAGATGTCATCCCTTTAATTGAAGAAATATTTTTGATATCCAACTTGTGATGGGCAAAGAATCTCCTGGAACATCACCAAGTGGGAGGGGTCCTGTTAAATAGCCAGACATGCAAGAAATAATACAGGTAAATTTGACTGTCAGGTAGAAAGGAAGAATATTATTAGTCTCCCTACAGTACCTATTATTATGGATGTCTATTTTTCTGCAAAAACGTTTCCTAACAGAATAAATAAATGAAAATTAAAATTCACTAAAAATTTTTAACAACATGAATTGCCGGCAGTATTAACATTTAATACTTGCATAATTTTTAAATTTCGTGATCTGACAACAGCTTTACATTGGCTTCTGATGACTATAATGTATCTCAAGAAACATTAATTTTTTAAGTTAATAAGATAGTAGTAATAATAATAATAATAACAATAAATACTTAATTATACACTCCTGCTTGGCCATGCTGCCTCCAATTACTAATAAAAAAAATGGCTGTACAACAACAGCTGGGTGATTATAACCACTGCAAATGTCCACTTCCTTATCAGAGAAACACCCTGAGCCAGCTTAACCCCACACTCAGGAAACTTTCCAAAAGTCAGAACTGCCTGGCTGGACCTTGGCCAGACTGGTCACTTTGACAATGAATCAGAACTTACAAAGAGTTTTTGCTGAAAAATCATCTCCTTCTTGCCTTACAGACACCCTGCTATAACGCACACCCCGATAATATGAATAGCAGCAAAATCACAGGCAAAAATGAATTACAGATGTTTTGCCTGAAATAAACTTTCGCTTTTACAGACTCTCGGTAATAAAGAAACTAACTTGAGGTCCCTGCAGTGTCCGCTAGAAGGAGAATTGACTGTTTGACTTATCTCACGAAATAGTTTGATTAAAAGTGAAATTCTCATCGCAATGGGAATGGTCTGGCCAGTCAGTTCTGACAAATGAAAAGCACCCTTAGTGATCTCCCAGGCTGGTCATAGACAGAGTGATGTAAAACCAAGTCTCTGTAATGAAGAAAGGTAGCTACAAATAATAAAATTATTCCTGCGTACCTAACCAGATGTAATCCCTAAACTGTGATGCTGTTGTCCTCTAAATCCAGACTCTCTTCCAAAGAATGCAGTCCATTTAAATATTAATCTCTGACCAGCTTGCCTCATTTGTTGTCTTTTTTCTGCCTGAAAAAAAAAAATAAACAAACCATTTTTATAACTTGTGACTTGCCACTTCTTGCTATAAATCTCAACACTCCTTGCAATCCATAAACACATTATGAACATGAAGAAAGTATATTAACATTTCCTAAATGGAGAAAATCAACCATTTGAACTTAAGAAGTGGAAACAAAAAATGAGCTTGACAAATGGTGATTTGAAATAATGTCAGGACTGATAACGTTCCATTTAATGGCACAAAAGCTTAAAAGCTAATGGCTGTCACTCATTTCTTAAACTCACTTTTAGATGTTTGGATATCACATATAATATCTGCTTTATGTCTAATGACCAAATCTAAACAATGCTTGTTCTTAAACCATTAACTCTATGGTGGAGAATTAACTCTTGTCTCAAGTATGATAGCAAACATTAACACCCTTCAGCAATAAAACACAGGGGCAGAGCTAGGACGTTTGAAGAAAGAGCTATACACAATTTTCCAAATCCCCCTCCCCAGATCGTTAAAACCCAAATCTTTTTCAGGTTACTTGATTAAAGGAGAGGTTACATTGTAAACTTAAACATAAAAACTGTTTATGAAATGACATAACAGGAAGTTGTAAAAATCATAAATTGGTTGTTATTTATTACATTAACAAGCTACTATCTTGTTTAAAAAATAGTTTTACACTAACAACAGCACCCTACATTTGCATAATTGTGCCCTACTTCAGCTACTACATCTCATTCATCACAGTCATCCCAGTCATTCTAACCAACCAAATCACGCAAGTCATCCCTGGTCATCCAAATCAATAATTCCCACAAACGCCTGCTCAGCCAAAAACAACATTCCTTTCCCATCGTTTGATTTGCGTGGTAAGTGACCAATAATCGGTTGTGCAATAAAGTGTCGACAGGCTAAACGCGACTAAAACCTGACCCTAGAATTACCGTTTTCCTTCTTTTCTTTCCTTCGCTAAGGTTATGAAGTGCATGGAGTTTTCTAAAATTTGACAAAATCTTATTTTGCCACCCTGAATATAACATTTATTAGAGGTCAGAAAGTTCTTCCAGTGTTTCATGCAGATCCAGTAATTATCAGATTACCTTGCGGTCAAGGTCAACTTTCTAGAATTTGGAAAGTACAATGTGATTGGGTAAGAATGGGAAAGGAATGTTGGCTTCAGTTGAGCAGGCGTTTGTGGGGATGGATGAAAAACGAGCTCTCCTAAAAACGCCTGTGTGGGAGGCTAGTAAAACGGCTGTTCTGAAAAAAATATGAATTGTAAACTAATGCTTCACTCCTAATGATTCTACTTCAAAAATACAAGGTCGTTACATGCAGCTACATGCGCTTGCAACAATTTATAAAATTTTCTATACATTTCCCAGGAAAAATTGCAGACAAATAATGGAAAATCTAAAGCAAGCGTCTGGAGAAATTTAAGTAGAGTAACGGCCCCCACAATTTTATAGTAAAATCCTTTGCTGTGTAGCTTTATTTTACAGATTAGAATATTTTTTTCAGAACAGCCGTTTTACGGAAATTATTTGACATTAGATTCCCATAAAAACACCGTAATTTCTCATGCGTTGGCCTACTCATCAAGATGGCGTCGAAAACCGCAATAAGGCCTATTATTCACGTATATATAGGTCAGTAACCCCTACCCCCTAAATACAGCTTTTTTGCATCACAGAATGCCCCTATATTGACCTTCTTGTCTGGGTTCTCCATTTCCTCATATCCCCAAGGCTTTAAAAGGGAATTGTGGCATCTATAGGAATTTTACTCTCACTAACATCAATACTATTTTTTTTGCTCGGTGCTTCACAGTTTCACATCTTCTATTGGTTTAAAACTATAAATTGAATTCTCTTCTAACTCCTCCTTTTTATAAAATTCAAAGTTTCATTTTCAATTGGCTTGAGTAGCGGCATAACCTTCCTTGCCCATGCAGTATGCTTTCCTTCTCCACACTGACATTGGGAAGAATAGACTGTATAATAATAATAAGAGTCTTTATTCATAGTTGGGTAGTCACAATATACGTGTGGCTTAACATACATGACAATGCAATCTATTTAATATCATCATTATGACCAGCCAAAGAAATGTTTGTGTGTGAGGCAAGGAGCTGGGACTACTGTTTTATGCTAGTCACCTATCCGTTTCTCAGCTCAGTCTTACCTTTCTAAAGCTGTATAAATATATACACAGTCAGTTGTTTTTGTTTTATGTGTGTCCATGTTTTATAGTCAGCCTGTAGTCTCTAGTCCCCATTTTATACCTACTCCATATTTTATACCCAGTCCACAGTCCATGGTCTGCAGTCCACAGTCTGCAGTCCGCATTTTATACTGACCGCATTCTTATTATCCTAGTCATGCTTGTTATCTTAGTCATCCAAGTTGTCACTATCTTCTTAGAGAGAACTATCGACCCATATCAGTGCTGTCAATCCTATCTAAAATACTCGAAAATATGTAGCAAAGTTGCTATTAAAATATCTTCAAGAGGAACAATTTGGTATATAAATAATTACAATCAGCCTTCCATTCTGGTAATTCCACTAAAATGGCACTTATCACAATCATGGAAAAAATTTTGTTTAAAATGGATAATGATGAACTCAAGGGACTAGTATTAATTTGTTGATTTCCATAAAGTTTTCGACATAATCTATCACAATCTATCACTGAAGAAATTATCAGTGTACAGTGCCAGCCCAGACTGCATGGCTTGGTTTCAATTGTATCTAGATGGGTGACGACAATTTGTGAAAATAGGGTATATAACATCCAAAACCAAAATCTGTTGTCTGGCTTCGCGGCCTAAAAAGAACGCTCCTCTCGCTAAGAAACTCTTGAGGTCGACTCTGTAAGTAGCAATAAGTAGCATGTCTATCAAAAAGCTTTAGGAAAATGTTGTTAAATCGGGCAGCGGGCACGCGTTGATGTTCAAAGGTCGTTTCACGTGAATTCACATGTAACATAATCCTTGACTATGAACGTGACAAGCTGCACAGTTTTCGATAGTAACAGCTTTTCATAGTAACATTGAAATTTTTTCTTCAAATTAGGATTGTTCATTAGTTAGTTTTTCAAAACAAGTTGTTACTTTTGCTCTGACAGGCGTGAAGTACGGTCGGGACGACGCAAAAACAATAGTTTTGTATTTTGAAAAATCGCTGAATAAACAAGGGAGTCGGTCTTCTATGTTCTTTAAATATTTTTACCTTTTTTGACTGCTGTGTCTGCGAGGATAAAACATAACTAAGATTGTTATTCCAGTAAAATACGATGCATAAAAAAGAAAAGAGACGACTATTATAATTGTGATTGTTCTAGAATCGGGTGTAAAGGGGGTATAAATCTATAAAATCCCGCATTGTCTTTCGTGTCGTGACAAGGCATTACGTATCACGTACTAAAAATAAATACGCAAAAGCTAACCGAATCTACATTTGTCCTGAACATTTCACCGATAATATAGAAAGAAAATACTTCTGTTTTGTGCTTAAAAGACGACTTTACAACAAGATGATCTATTCAAAAGAGATAACAGTTTTGGGGCGGCCCCCGGTGGGGGGGGGGGCACTTCCTTATAAAGAGGCTAATAGGGATGTGCCGCTGGATGGGGTCGCATTTTCACGACTAGATTGAACATTAATGGGGTTGCATTTTCAAAAGAGTTACTAGAATGGGGTCGCACATTTTCGGATTTTTGGGGTAAGAGAGCTGTTCATATTTACGGTTAGCAAACCTATCAGGATATTTGTACAGCGGGTGAAAAGTAAAGTGTTCTTCATTCAATTTATTAAAAAAATAGGTCAATTCATTTCTTGATGACCTATTTAAAGGATTGATAAGGTAGATACATAAATAGAAAGTGACTAACTTGGGATCGCAAAAATTACATATTTCCCCAAGAGTGACTAATATGGGGTCTACAATATTGGCCACAGAAAAGACTATAATGGGGTAGGGGTTCTGAGAGGCCAGCGGCACATACCCAGCAAAAATTAACAGTTTTCCTGGAAAGCTCCACGCGATCTCAGTCAATCTTAACAAGCAAATTTTCTTTTCAACCTAAACAGGAGCTCCTGACCTAAATCAAAATGATTAGTAAAAAGAATAGTGCCCTTATTTTTTACCCCAAATTTATTTTTCTATTTAAAAAACATGAAATGTTCGACGGCGTTGTCCATGTTTCTCATATGGCGCGAAAACTTACTTTCATATGACAACATGCGGGTTTTTTTTTTTCGCACGCTCAGGAGGTCAAAGGGATGTGATTTTTCATGAAAAAAATGTTCACAAAATTCTGCTTGACTTGTTAAGAAAATAATTTGTTTAATGTTTAATAATTAACTAACAGCTCATTGATTTATTAATTTGGGCGACCAACTTAGAGGCCCGGGTACCCCAGCTAAAAATGCTTGGGGAGCCTAAAGGGCTCTCTGAAATTTTCCCTAGAGCACTTCCCTGCAGCCCTGTAGTTATTGGAAGTATGATACATTACACGCTATTGTTAAATGTGGAAGTGCATTTTTTGAGGACATTAGTAAAGGAATGCAAATTTTAGTGAACTACCCCATACTCCTAACATATATGGTGGTAATATTGATGTAAGTTTTGGTTTGAGTAGCAAAGGAACCCTTGTGTGTAACTCATCTTCTAGTGTATTAGTCCTTAACAGAACATCTCCGTCTCTCCTGCACACATCTGTTGCATACACTACTCAACTTCCATTTCCATCCAACATACCCGTAATTCTTTCTGAAACCCACACATCCCGCGTAAGCGCCTTCGGGCGTCTTCTTGTTTTGTTAGAAAATTCCAGTTTGAAATGCTTTGTCCTCTACTTATGTTTAGTTTATGCTGACTCTGTTACTGCATTTCACTCAAGTATTTGTAGCAAGTTTACCTCACTGATGATCTTTTCATTATATGTTGAGCATATGTGTAGTTGGTTCACTAACGAGTTACAACTGTACATAATTATGTAATTGACTTGCTATTTTTTGTCAAGTGTGAGATTTTGTGAGCGTGAGTGTTAAATTTTCTGTATTTTCACTTTTGCTTTCAATAATTATGGGCATCCGTGTACATAACTGACCGCACATTGCTGATTAGCTTGATATAGGCAATTATGATAATTCAAGATTAAAGATTGCAGTGAACAGAGTTTGACACACTATATACAACACATGGCCTATGAAATCATAACTTCAAGATTGCATGTTCTCTGCAAAGGTCTGACAGCCGAAAATTATAATATTATTTATTTATTCCGGCAACACATCATCTAATTTGAGAACACCGTTCGTAAAATATTTAGGACAATACCTTCCTTTAATTGTTTACAAGTTGCAATTTCTGTCACACAAAGATACATTTGTGAGATGGGACCTGTACACTGTAAATTAGCCAGTCAACAGCACATCAATTTCCTGGTTCTTTCAGACAACATCATTTTGTTTTAATTATTTTAACCAGAAAATCTTTTAAATCAGTAAAATGAGGGCTTAAACCTAATCAGTAAAATGAGAGCTACTCAATTTGAGTAAAATGAAAAAGTCACATATTTGAAAAAAACCTATTCAGGTATACAAATCAATAATCAAACCACTTTAAAAATTTCGAACTAAAAAACAAATTGAACTAGAACATATACACACTGCATAACTGACTGACTACCTATTTGATTGTCAAATAAGTAACTAACTGACTAAAAACATATTTATGCCAACAGAATGCTACTAGAATTGGAGAACATATTGTTGAAAGGACAATAAGAAAAAAAAAGTACCTAATGTGAATGTGTTTAAGGGACTACATGACGCATGGTACATAATTATACACTATGTACACTTTGTTACAGTGGAACCTCGGGTGTAACGAGGGGCTGAGCAACGGACAATAAAAATATTTGCCATGAGAAGGTTTCACTATATCAAGGTTCTTTTCATATATTTCACAAGTACTTGGGCTAGGAAGATAATTTGCTTGTTATACCAAGGACTTCGTTATATAGAGGTTCGTTAAAACAAGGTTCCACTGTACTGTAAAATGTTCAGATTATCTTGTTTACCTTACCTTCAAGCTGACTATTCTTGCTGATCTTGTTTTCTGATTGAATTAATGTTGTCCAGGGGGCAATGCCATCCGTCTTCATCCATGTCTCCCAACAATACAAAATGCAAGTCTGTCACTGAAAGAATGAAAAATAAATTTAAACTAACATGACTTTATAAAGAATAACACTTGTAGGAGTACTGTATAGGAGTTAATCACTTAACAGAGAATTGCAACACAACTGTGTGTACAAGATAATAGGACACTTACTTTATGAGGGCCCCACTAAAAACCGCCTTGGCAAGTTGGGCTCCCTCTATTATTATTATTATTATTATTATACCGGTGAACCTTTGAACTTAAGACCTAAGCCTGTCTTACTTCAAAACACATTGCAGAGACTTTTATAAGAATAAAGTAAGGGGCTTTGATCCTGATCACCCTCATGTTGCTTTGGTAAAAATCATAGTGCAGTTTTCAGTCATGATCAACAGTTTATGTATGTTACTTTTTCTGACAACTTCTTTTTCTTTCTTTTCTTTTCTCATACAGTACATTGTCTATAGGTTATGGAAAAGTAATTTACCCAAGTCATTAAGAAGGCAATATTTTGTCATGGCCAATTTATTTTACAAAGCCGCCCATCTTAGAGGGTATATATTTGCCAAGGAGGGATATATATCAGTGTTACAGGTCAAAAGTAAATTCAGGTTAAAAATTTTTAAACCTTGGTTGATTCCGTATTTTCTTACTCTCCAAGCCCTAATTATTCATGAATTAGGACTAGGAGACAAAAGAAACTGAGAATCAACCTAGGTTAAAAAGTTTTAACCTAAATTTAATTTTAACCTATAACATATACCTAATTATCAAAGCTATATAATTGTCGCACTTATAATTTTATTACTTTCTTTTCATAGCATTAAATAAACTTATATTTTCATGACGTGTATTCCCAGTTAATCCAAGTTTTCATATAGGAATAAAGTTATATCATTACACGCTGTATCATAACGTAGACAGTTATCATTGCCATTGTCACTGTAATAATTGTTATCGTGAAAGAATTATTTCTTGCCAGATTATATTCACTTCTGATTTCTGTCAGCCTTTTTAGTTAGCTGGAGGCTCTCAACAACTACTTGCCAATAGAAACCCCCCAGTGAACCTTCCAAGTATTGATAAATATCAGAGATGTCATTACAGGCTGGGGGGGGGGGGGGGGAGGGGGTTAGGGATTTCCCCTGGCTACTTTCCTAGGAAAAGTAGAACCAAAGGTACTCCCTAGCCTTGATTCCCCAGCTATTCTACTTGCTGTGTTTTCCCAGCAACTCAAAATCTTACTAACAGCCCTGAATATTATGATCTTACTATTTCCAACCCTTAATATAATATACAGGTTATTAATACTTAATATGTTCCTGGAGATCGATGGACTAGTTAGGTAGTTTGTTTCCCTAAAGCAAAGCATTAAAGAAATTTCGCAAAATATGAGGAATATACATTCTACACAAGTGAAAAATTAAAGAACAAACACTAACAGATTATGAGCCTAATTTCGTATTCTTGTGAAATATAAAATATGAAGAAGCATAAACAATGTAGAAACCCCAAGGAAAAAATAAGTAAGCTACCAAAAAAACAGGTGGTACATCGAAAAAAAGGACAATCGAGCTTTGACGTTCAAACAAACAATGGCTACAAACCTTGGAAATACTCGAAGCTCGGTAGAAACCACCTTGATGCTTGAAGGCCGCCATCTTGGAATTCTCTTTTAGACCCCAGGTTCCCGCTTCGCGCAACACGCGACAGTGCGAACAGAAGTCATTTTTCGCGCGCGTGTGTGGCGCTTCACACCCGCCCGCCCACGTCCGCGTTACGCTTGCCTTCTCTCGCCAGAAAAAGGCGAAAAAATAACGCCTGCTTTTCAGGCTACTGATCAAGGGTATTAAGGTTTTTTGACAAAAATACTATTTCAGTGAATGGCATAAAAGATAACTAAGTTTATGGTCCCCTGGGTTTTTGTTTTATTCAGTTTGGGAGCGAATGTTAGCGCCTTCGAGGCAATGGAGGGTACCAAGACTCTCGAGGGTACTACCTATGTGTGGCAGGTGTTGGGGAGGACACCCTCGTCCCTAGGGAGGAGCAGGAGGCACCCCATCCATTTTCTGACGGAAAGCCCTCAGGACGAGGTTGTAAGGAAGAAGAGAGGCATTGAGAGGCATGGGAATACGTGTGCGAATACATAGGCGCCCCTGGAAGCAAGGAAGGGATTTCTCTTTTTCCTTCCCAGCGCGCTCAGCACGGCCATCGCGTTCTTGCGCAAGGCAGGCTATGTCCGAATTAGGCTAAAATACAGGTAAAAACTCACTAGGAGAAATGGACTGTCTGGGCGAGGGATCACAGCAACCTTGACCCCAGGGCGCTTTTCCCTGGCTTTGGAGGTGGGACGGGAAAAGCGCCCTAGGGACGAAGTTGGGATCACCCCTTTTCGAGGACGGTCCGCGCCAATTCGGTGTCTAGCCCCATCTGACCAAGATAGTCAGAAACCCATGCCAGGAAGAACTCACAGTAAAGGGGTCAATAAGAGGAACAGGTAGTGACAAAAGAAGGCTATATAATACACGGCCCACTAAATATCTAACTTAAAAAACTCCTCCCGTTGTCCCGCAGTCGTCGAACCCCCCCCCCCGCCCACGCCCAGGGCGACTTACCCGGTCTAGTAAGCGTGTTTTTAGTGAGAAAATAGTTGACTTCCGCCTTGACCGAGTTGACTTAGACTTTTCACAGTCCTCTATTTTTCCGTAAGATCATCGAGATCGAGCGCTTTGTGTTACGGACTGCGATCTTGGATGAGTGTCAAAACTACTCAGGGGGCGGGGGCGGATAATCCCCGACGCCCGACGCCCGCCCCCTCGGTACATTTGAAAATCGAGGTACCCGTGACGGTAACACGCGGTATATCTAAACGTTCTCACGAAAAAATAGGGGACTGTGAACAGTCTAGAGTTGACTCGGGTGAGGGGCGATCCTCTGTGTTTAATAGAGGAAAGTTGGCCTGGCTAACAAGGTGACCCTACCATGACAAAAGGGTGACTTGGCCACCCTTCTAGCCAAGCCAACTTTATTTCTCAAGTAAACAGGTCGCCATGTTTTATAAGGAAATTTATGAAAAGTTGGCTCTTCCAGGCTATCTCGGTTAGGCGCGAGTGATCCTTCTACCCGGGACACCTTTCGGTCAGGTAAAACGGGGACTTATTCAACCACGCCCAAGTTCTTCAATCAGACGCTCTTCTCCCTGCCGGGGAGCTTAATATTTCAAACATATTTGAAGTGGGGGTGCATAATAGGGACGGAGTGGATATTCAGTTTAGCAAAGACGATGGCATCAGTTCTCCATAAACGACTTGAATAAAAATTGAAAAAGCTCAAGTACAAGAAGTTGAGGGTCATGCAGCCGAGGAAATAAAACAAATACTAACTTTCAGTTGGTAAATAAACCTTCCCGGATCAGTTCACACGAAGTTTTACAGTCGTGATTGATTAACACAGTCTATCATTTATTAGTGAAGAGCAATATCTGGGAGGGGAGGAGGGGGGGGCTTAAAAGAGATGGGGGCTTATTAACTTTCACCCCCTGAAAAGGGGAGGCTCAATAGAGCATTTACGGTAATTAAAAAGGGAAGTAGGGGAAATCCTATATGAATCTGATAAAGACGCTCTTCGAGGAACTCGTCTCGCTAAAGGGAGTTAATGCAGCCTTTTGTCTCAATAGACCTTTTTCACAACACCCCCCATCTTTGCACGCGTATGGGATAAAACCAATGTCACGTGGTATTTCAGGGGGTAAACAAGTGCCAATCGGCAGGCTCCTGCAATCGGTTATCCTTTGGGCTGTTTTCTCAATACCGGCAATCGCGGTCGAGTTTGTTTATTCTCTCAAAATTAAACGTCGCGTAATTTTTACGTGCGTAAATGAAATAGAGGCAATATATGGAAGGTCACTCGTACACGTAAAAGTTGAACCTCGCTCAACTTTACTTCGTCAATTGTTGGAGGAAGTGTATTTGCGTTAATGGGTATTTGAACGTAAAAAATATCATTAACAGTTTTCTCAGCTTTGAACATATTAGAGAAACCAAGGACTTTTGGGGTGCATGTTTCACGCAAAAGCTTGAATGTTTGAACGATTTATTCAAACAATAGACCACATTTTCTATGGGTTTACCGGCGTGATAGCCCACGCGGGATGTTGGGAGAAGACGGCTCGTGATTTACAAGCTTTTTGAGTGTTCTCCGAACATCTCAAGTGGGTTATCACGCCGGTAAACCCATAGAAAGTGTGGTCTATTGCTTTTATAAAATAACTTTAAGTTTTCTATGAGTTTACCGGCACAATAAACGATAGGTTTTTAACCAATCAGAACGCGCGTACTTCTTCTTTTACGCGCGTCCTTTTATACATTGCTTCTACTTTATTTACGCCCGTAAATTTACGTACATAAGCACGTCAAAATTACGCAACAGTGGAAATCCACCATAATGGACCGAAGCTGCGCAGGGCCGATCTCTAAAGTGGAGAGTCACATACCAGAGGCACCCAACGAGAATACAGTTCAAAACCACTTAAACATAGCATTGTTAAACGTATTTTAGTATTTAGTATTTTCACCTGTTCGGATTTCCTAGCTAAAAATCTAGTGATCCGAAAATTATAGGGATCAAAACTTACCTTTTCGAAACTTTCAGCCAGAAAAAAGGCTCCGAAAATTCTAGGAGACCTTTTTACGGTAAAAATCCGTTAAAAATGGGCAATTATACCATTTTTTAGATACTCGAAAATCCTAGGAGAGGCAGGCAAGCAAGAAATTTTACAACAAATGTTCCAAAAATTCTAGATCTCAAATCGTCTTCCGAACAGATATTTTCCGAAAATTGACGTTGGGTGCTCCTGACATATCGGATCAGGTATTCATACCATATTGGATAGCTTTTCGTGTCGACATTGAAAGCTATCCAGTACAGCATGAATATAGCCTTATTGTTTGTTTTTGTTGTTGTTTGCTTGTTAGTTTGTTTTTTCGCTGTTAGAGTATTCCTCGTTATATGCACAGTCCCAGCGTGAAGATAAATAGGCCTCTTACTACTACACGGGTTCGTCGTCCGTACTGAAAGTAACAGACCGAGTTTTTTCCTCTCGAATTTATGGACCAAGAACTATGAAGCGAGCGGGCTATAAAACCGACGGAAAAAAAGATCCTTATTTTACAGTGCCTATTGTGAAAATAAGGACCTTAAGATCGGAGGACGGCGACGGCAGCGAAAACGTCGCTTTAAAAGTGAATGTGCATTAAATTCTTCAATCTTCATCTAGAATGGTTTAAGAGCTACATGCATGATAGCAAACAGTACGTACGAACTGGCTCTGAAACGTCCGGGATGAGTAAATCTACCCGCGGAGTTGCCCAAGGATCCATTCTGTGACCGGCCTTATTTAACGTGTACATCAACGATTTGCCTGGCGTTCCAGATTACTGCCCCCGTGACGAAACCCGCCACAAAAGTGAGTCCTCTCCAACGATAACACCGAACATAGACAAACTCAAGAAAACACGTATATAAAAAAAATAATGCTCTAAACGTTTATTAAAACAATACTCCCAAAAATCCACGATTTTAAGATTAAGTAGGCGTTTCTATAATTATACTCGTTTCACTAAACAATTTAAACAGGATAATTATTCCAATTTCTAAAGACTAATGCGATATTACTTTTGATAATTATTTTACACAAAATACCCAGCGATTTTTGAACTACTTAGTAGTTCAAAACAACAGGGGCCGCCCAAGGACTTGTGGAAGAACGAATTATACCCATTTTGTAACATTTTCTCAATCTCTTTGTTGACCTCCTCTTCGAGTATTTGAGGTATTCTATAGGGTACACTTCGGATGGGTGACGACCCGCCAGTGTCGATTTTGTGTGTAGCTACATTCGTTAAGTTTGGTTTTTCCGAAAACACATCAGAATACTCATGTAATAAATTCCTCACCTGGCTCCTTCGGTTAAGTCATCCGAGATCATAACATCTTCCCAGGTTTCCTCGTGACCAAAGGGGGGAATATTGTTTTCGTAGGGTAATGGAATTTCTGGGGACTCTTCCATCACTAAACCGGCCTTTTCGTCTCTGCTCTGCCATTTACTTAACAAGTTGATATGATAAGTGCGATGCTGCTTGCAAGTCTTACCGGTGTCAAGTTCATAATTCAACCCATCTTCTAGTGCTCTCGTGACTGTAAAGGGTTTTTGCCATTTCATCTCTAATTTACTTCCGGGGGTGGGCAACAAAACTAAGGCTGTGACGAAACCCGCCACAAAAGTGAGTCCTCTCCAACGATAACACCGAGCATAGACAAACTCAAGAAAACACGTATATAAAAAAATAATACTCTAAACGTTTATTAAAACAGTACTGCCAAAACTAAGCGTAACTACATACTCGTTTCACTAAACAATTAAAAAGGGATAATTATTCTAATTTCTAAATGCTAATGCGATACAGTAATTGTGATAATTATTCTAATTTCCAAAGACTAATTCGATATTACTTTTTTGTACACAAAATACACAGCGATTTTTGAACTGCTTAGTTTACAACATATTGACACATTATCTTCTTTGAACACGCAGTAATAATTCCCTTTTTAGTTTACCTTACGTATAAAACAGAGTTCCTCGTCTTTCCTTTAGTCCAGCCCGCCGCGACCCCTTCCGAACACAACACCACTTTTACTCGATCCCAAAACCTCCAAACTCCAGTAGCCTCCATTCTCTTATATCTTTCACCAACTTGCTCCGGCTTCGGTCTCCCGGTCTGCCGCTGCTCTCTAGTTCAGTCTGGTTGTCCGCAACCGTTCTTGGAGAGATATTATGTAACGCACTGACTTCTTGGACAGATGTTACGGTCTCCACAATACTTCTCCTGTTCTCTCAACTTTGACAGCACATCAAACTGCTTTCCCCCGACCAAATGACTTCTTTTGCCGTGAAGTTAAAAGGGACGCCTCTGCTGAAGGGATTTCAGTAGAACGGCTTGTGCTTCAAGGTCTCTCAGTCTCCTGCAATCTCTCTGAACGCGCCCTCCGCACTGACTTTTTAGCGACGCGGCTCCTTCTTAATATCTAAAACATCCAAATCCCATGCAAATGCAAGGTGTGGCAAAAAGGGACTATTGTGAAAGGTCCGATCTAGTAATTAACGGCTTACAATGAATATTTTACCTAATTAGTTTTATAACGAACAATAAAGTACCAACTGCAACAATAAAAGTTACGCAATAGCGTACACGGCAAAAAAAAAAAATACCGTATTTATTCGAATACGCGCCCCGCCTCGAATTAGCGCCCACCTCGAATAAGCGCCCATCCCAAAGGCAGAAAAAGTTAATAAGCGCCCAGTCTCGAATAAGCACCCACCCCACCCCACTCCCTCCCACACAAACTCAAATAAGATACAATAAGAGACCCTCCCGAAGACGGAGTTTTCTTCAGAGTATTTTACAGATTGGGCTGAAACCTTGCTTTGTTACTTCTTCGCTTTTTTGTTATTACCATTTATTATTTTGTAGCAAAATAAACATACTACACTTGCTGAGAATGGCAAAAATTTAATAAGCGCCCAGCCTCGAATAAGCGCCCACTATCAAGGTCCAAAAATTTAATAAGCGCCCAGGGCGGTTAATCGAATAAATACGGTACTTAACCAAAAAAATTAGCATAAAAGAAGTAACTATTATTAATTAGGCATTCTATGAAACCTCCCTACCCCCGCCCCCCACAATGGCTATTTTTTAGGGGAAGTGAAGACAAAAAATAGCTTAAGCCAGCGATGAAAATACAGCAGTAAAGCTGACTTAAACCCTGCTAAGGGCATCTACGTTACAGTTCTGTTTACCACTTTTGTGTTCGACTACCATGTCATATTCTTGTAGAGTAATGCTCCACCGCAGCAGTTACCTGCTCTTATCGCGGACCTGATTCATCCACACTAAAGGGTTGTGGTTCGTCTGCAGCTAAAAAGTACGGCCATACAAATAGTACCGAAACAGCTCAACAGCCCATACAATACCTAAGTACTCCTTCTCTGTAGTCGATAACTTTTGCTCTCTTGGCTAAAGCTTTCTACTTGCATAAGCTATAGGGTGTTCCTCCCCTTCCTGATCTTTCTGACGTAAGATTACCCCAAGACCTCTATTCGAGGCATCTACTTGCAAAACGAATTCGTCTTCCCATTGTGGCGGTCTCAAAACGGGTGGGTTCTGCATAGCAGCTTTTAGATCCTGAAATGCCAATTGACGGTTATATTCCACTGAACCTTAGAAGGATTCTTACCTTTAGTTTGGTCAGTCAAAACAGCAGCTCGTTCTGAAAAGTTAGGAATAAACTTTCTGTAATGCCCAGCTAACCCAAGAAAAGATCTTACCTACTTCTAGTAACCCCTAACTGTTCGTACAACCAGGGGGGTAGCTAGCGGGGGGGGGGGGTCCTGGGGTGCCCGTGACCCCCCCCTTCGTAGGCCTTCTTTTGCGCAAACAACCTACAATATTCAGGTGGCGAAAACGCCATGACAATATCTTGGCCGTAAAAGCCATTGTTGAAAAGCCCACTTTTTTAAAATTTGTTTTTTTGTAAAGTATTTTCGTCAACGGCTCTTGTCTTTAGTTAATATGGGCCTTCATGCGGCGATAATACGACTGAGCCCGCTGATACACGAGGGAGAGCAGCGGTATAAACCATATATAGTCGGCGATCCCCGGATGGTGTCCCTGTCTGTGACCCCCCCTTTGAAAAATCCTGGCTACGCCCCTGGTACAACTAGGCCAAGAGCTTACTCATGAAATTGGATCCCTGGTCAGACACTATTTCATCGGGAATACCCACCCCAGAGAAATACTGAATCAATGCTTCCGCAACAGTCTTTGCGTTTCTTGTTCGCAAAGGTATGGCCTCTGGATACCATGTAGCATAATCTACTATTGTTAAAATGTATTTATGGCCAGTTGTTGTCCTAGGTAATTCACCAACGATGTCTATAGCGATCTTCTTAAAAGGCTCGGTAACGATTTCCACCGGCTTTAAAGGTGCTCTTTTTTACTTCAATTTCCTGGCTACCAATTGACATTGAGGACAAGTTGCACAATATTTGCGTACATCAAAACTTATACCAGGCCAAGAAAAATGCGCAGCTATCTGGTCAAATGTCTTTTTGCTACCCATATGACCTGATGAGGGGATTGTGTGTTCAACCCGCAAAATGTTCTGTAGGATTCTGGCCCTACAATACGATCAATACCTAGTTCCATTATGCTCATCTGAGAGATATTCCCGATGAAACAAGAGGTCATTTGTGAAAAAAGTAGACATCTGATTCTTCTGGTGCCTTTTGGAACGCTTCACAGCGTATCTTCTCGAGAGTTACGTCGGACTTTTGATCCGCAATCAGCTGATTTCTATTTCGGTTGAGGATGTTTACTGGAAAATGATCCTTTTCAGGTTCGTTTACCAGGGTACCATTCTCAGAATTCTCCTTACCTTTCTCTTCCAGTATCTTTCCCTCAAAGAGAGTTTGCAGATCTCCTTCCTCTGCACCCTCACGTTTCGTCTCTTTTTTTGATAAACTTTTGACTGCTATTGAACTTTCTCGGTCACTTAACTCATCTGCTCTCAACTGGGCTTCTTCTAATGCTCTCTGTCTTCGAGTCACTACGAAAGCCTCTTGTCCACTAGCATCAGCTGCCGAAACGTTTTCCTTCCATTGGTCCAAAATATTTTGCCTCGAAAGCGTCTTTCCAAAGGAGGACCTGCCAAGTAAACAATCTACAGGTAGCTTGTCCAAAACTCCAACTAATTCTACATGTTTACCTTCCTTGCTATCAAATTCAACATTTGCAAGGGGAACTGTAAGACGTTCTGCCGCAGCTGTTAATACTGTGATTTTTTCACCAGTCAAGGCTGAGCTCTTTACAAATTTGCTGTGAATTAGAGTACTAGTACACCAAGAATCAACGACCATTTCTGCAAACTTTCCATTTGTTTTACCTTCAACATTGCAGGGAGGAAACTCAGATTGTTCTGTCGTTAGAGGTGTCATGTACAACAGGTACCCCTGTGAGGGCTTCCCACGACCCTTACCACAGTTAAACGACCTGTGTCCCGGTTTACCACATTTGTAGCACTTAATTTCAGGTTTTGTAGTCTTTTGTTCGGGGGAGGGCGAGGGCTTTGAAGGCTTTTCTTGATTTTGATTTTGTTTCTTCGGGCAAAGAATCATCTGCCTTACCTCCAAACCTTTCCTTTTTCCCAGATTTTCCCCCACCTCAGTATGTCACATACTTACCCCCAACAAGTTGTCCTTTTCTGGACTGAACATATAAACTGGCGAGATTACCAAGTTCCTCAACAGTCTTTGGCTCCTGTTCCTTTAACCAAGCTCTAAGTTTAGGGCCTACTGCATCGAGGAGTCGCTCCATCATTATTTGTTCGATGATCTTTTCTGCATCCCCTGTGGCCTCGGCAACGGCCATCCAACGATTGAGGCACCTACGGGTCCTGTTTCCCCACTGAACAAAATCCTCATCGGGTTTTTTGTCCGAAGTTCGAAACCTATATCTATAATGATCAGCAGTTAACTGGTAAGCTTTGATGATAACGGCCGTACTTTTGAAATAACCTTGGCAGGCAGGGTCAGGAATTTCTAAGTAAGTAGTAATAGAAGTACTACTAGTAGTGGTAGCAGCTGATATTTGGGAAGCAGTTGCAAACAGATTGACTTAGCCTTTTCAGTAAGCTTGGGTACTAAGTTACCAACCCAGTCCCCCTCAGGTAGGGATTGTGCCCTTGCAATCATTTCAAAAATCCGCAAATAATCAGCCATATCTTCACTTTCCCTCAGAAATTTGGGCCCTCAAGTCTCATTGTTACTCACCTGCCGTCTTTCCGACTCTCTTGCAGCAAATTGTTCAGTGTTCTCAGCTCTGAGTTTTCTAAGTCTCTCATCTTCTCGAATCAAACACTCTTCTTCCTGGGACTTTTGCCTTTCATACTCTCTTCTTTCTTTCTCCGCCTCCCTTTCTGCCTGGCGCCTCTCTCTTCTCATCATTTCTCTCTAGCTCCCTAATTTCCCTTTGCTCCTGAATAATTTTCCTTCGTAATTCTAGCATCTGCATTTCACGTTCCTGTAGCTGTAATCTTTGTTCAAAACTGAGACTAGCTAGTGTCCTGAGCAGACTCCGCAAGATTCTCGTTTTCCCCCTCATCGCCCGAACTTTGGCCTAACCAATCAAAGGTTCTTAGTCTGCTTGCTAAGGTCTTAACCCCGTCCTTACGTGGAAAATAAATACATCTTCTCGTAGTTTCATCCCTAAGCTCTTGTAACGACCAGGAGTCATAGTAGGTGGCTCTAGCGGCCATGATAAATCCTAAATACGGTAATTGTATACGTGTCTCCGTGTGAGCCGTTTATGCAAACCGTTAAAGAGCCATCTCACCACTGACACCAAAGATCTGTGGCGAAACCCGCCACAAAAGTGATTCCTCTCCAACGATAACACCGAGCATAAACAAACTCAAGAAAACACGTATATATAAAAAAATATACTCTGAACGTTTATTAAAACAATACTCCCAAAACTCCACGATTTTAAGATTAACTAGGCGTTTCTATAATTATACTCGTTTCACTAAACAATTAAAACGGGATAATTATTCTAATAAAGACTAATGCGATACTACTTTTGATAATTATTTTACACAAAATACACAGCGATTTTTGAACTATTAGTAGTTCAAAACAACAGGGGCCGCCCAAGGACTGGTTATGGAAGGACGAATTATACCCATTTCTAACATTTTCTCAATCTCTTTGTTGACCTCCTCTTCGAGTCTTTGAGGTATTCTATAGGGTACACTTCGGATGGGTGACGACCCGCCAGTGTAGATTTTGTGTGTCGCTGGTTTTCCCGAAAACACATCAGAATACTCATGTAATAAACAGGGGCACCCAACGACAATTTTGGGAAGAATATCTGTTCGGAAGACGATTTGAGATCTAGAATTTTCGAAACATTTGTTGTAAAATTTCTTGCTCGCCTGCCTCTCCTAGGATTTTCGAACATGTAAAAAATGGTATAATTGCCTATTTTTAACGGATGTTTACCCTAAAAAGGTCACCTAGAATTTTCGGGAGCCTTTTTTCTGGCTGAAATTTTCGCAAAAGTAAGTTTTGATCCCTATTATTTTCGGATCACTAGACTTTCAGCTAGGAAATCCGAACAGACGAAAAATTTTTAGGGGATAAAAATATGCCTATATCTTCCCTTCTAAATACTAAAATACGTTTAACAATGCTATGTTTAAGTGGTTTTGAACTATATTCTCGTTGGGTGCCCCTGTAATAAATTCCTCACCTGGCTCCTTTGACCTTCGGTTAAGTCATCCGAGATCATAACATCTTCCATGCAGGTTTCCTAGTGACCAAAGGGGGGAACATTGTTTTTGTGGGGTAATGGAATTTCTGGGGACTCTTCCATCACTAAAGCGGCCATTTCATCTCTGCTCTGCCATTTACTTAACAAGTTAATATGATAAGTGCGATGCTGCTTGCCTGGAGGGGTACTTTAGGAATTTCTGGATGGGGATGTGCCGCTGGGACCCTGGAACCCTTAACCTATACCAGAGCTAGTTCAGCTAAATTTTGCTACCCTATACTAGAGTAAACTCCCCAAATCCCCGCTATCCTAGAGTAGCTGTTTCCCTAGTCTAGATAAAATCTTCAACCAACTGATCAGTTTCCTGAAGAATGATACCCTATTCTAGACCCAAACGCTCTGATTTATATACCCTATCCAAGAGTAAACTGCTTGAAAACCATACCCTTCACAGCGGCACATAACTATATAGCCCATATATGGCAGAACCCCCCCCCGGGCTGCTTGCAAGTTTTACTGTTGTCAAGTTCATGATTCAACCCATCTTCTGGTGCTCTCGTGACTGTAAAGGGTCCTTGCAATTTTATCTCTAATTTACCTCCAGGGGTGGGCAACAAAACTAAGACTGTGACGAAACCCGCCACAAAAGTGAGTCCTCTCCAACGATAACACCGAGCACAGACAAACTCAAGAAAACACGTATATTAAAAACATAATGCTCTAAACGTTTATTAAAACAATACAGTCGACTCCCGATAACTCGAACCCTCGTTAACTCGAACCTCGCGCTAACTCGAACCAAAATCTATTTCCCCTGGATTTCCGTCATACATTTACTGTAATTTTACCCTCGGTAATTCGAACCCTCGATAACTCGAACTCCCGCTAACTCGAACCAATTTTCGTTTCCCCTCAGGTCATTTTCTATAGAATTTTACCCTCGATAACTCGAACCATGTTTTGAGCCCTTAAAAAGTCGGGAAAAAAGCCGTCTACTGGCGTCCGAGACATTGAATTTTGGATTTCCTATTAACGTGTTGTAGGAGTACAGTTTACTCAGGGGCACCCAACGAGGATATAGTTCAAAACCACTTAACATAGCATTGTTGAACGTATTTTAGTATTCAAACGGTAGATATAGGCATAATTTTATCCCCTAAAAACTTTTCATCTGTTCGGATTTCCTAGCTGAAAGTCTAGTGATCCGAAAATTATAGGGATAAAAACTTACCTTCTCGAAACTTTCAGCCAAGAAAAGGCTCCCGAAAATTCTAGGTGGCCTTTTTTAGGCTCAAAATCCGTTAAAAATGGGTAATTATACCATTTTGTAGGTGTTCGAAAATCCTAGGAGAAGCAGGCAAGCAAGAAATTTTACAACAAATGCTCCGAAAATTCTAGATCTCAAATCGTCTTCCGAACAGATATTTTCCCGAACATTGCCGTTGGGTGCCCCTGTTTACTAATGGAGGCTGATGTTGATTGTCACAGGCTAACGTGAAGCAGCTTTACTTCTCAAAACAGTAAAAGGCATGCTCTATTTGGGCTATGTTACGTTACGTTTTGATTTATAATCTAGAAGTATCTTTTAATTTTCACTTGACACTTCTACAATTAAATGTGATTAAAATGTTCACTGTACAGTAAAAACTGTTTTTTACCTTACTCTCGGCTATTTTCTTCGAGCTTCCGATAACTCGAACTTTGATCGATTTCCCTTGAAGGTTCGAGTTATCGGGAGTTGACTGTACTCCCAAAACTCCACGATTTTAAGATTAACTAGGCGCTTCTATAATTATACTCGTTTCACTAAACAATTAAAACGGGATAATTATTCTAATTTCTAAAGACTAATGCTATATTACTTGTGATAATTATTCTAATTTCTAAAGATGAATTCGATATTACTTTTTTTGCACAAGATACACAGCGATTTTTGAACTACTTAGTCTACAACATATTTACAAATTATCTTCTTCGAACACGCAGTAATAGTTCCCTTTTTAGTTCACCTTACGTATAAAACAGAGTTCCTCGTCTTTCCTTTAGTCCAGCCCTCCGCGACCCCTTCCTGGAACACAACACCACTTTTACTCGATCGCAAAACCTCCAGACTCCAGTTGCCGCCTTTCTCTTATATCTTTCACAGACATGCTCCGACTTCGGTCTCCCGGTCTGCCGCTGCTCTCTAGTTCAGTCTGGTTTTCCGCCGGCAACCGTTCTTGGAACGCACTGACTTCTTGGAGAGATGTTACGGTCTCCACAATACTTCTCCTGCTCTCTCAACTTTTACAGCACATCAAACTACTTTCCCCCGACAAAATGACTTCTTTTGCCGTGAAGTTAAAAGGGACGCCTCTGCTGAAGGGATTTCAGCAGAACGGCTTGTGCTTCAAGGTCTCTCTCTTACACTCTCTCTGAACGCGCCCTCCGCACTGACTTTTTAGCGACGCGGCTCCTTCTTTACATCTAAAACTTCCAAATCCCATGCAAATGCAAGGTGCGGCAAAAAGGGACCATTGTAAAACGTTCGATCTAGTAATTAACTGCTTACAACCAATAGAACGGCTTACAATGAATATTTTACCTAATTACTTTTATAATGAACAATAAAGTACCAATTGCAATAATAAAAGTTACGCAATAGCGTACACGGCAAAAAAAAATAGTTAAACAAAAAAATTAGCATAAAAGAAGTAACTATTATTAATTAGGCATTCTATGACAGATTCCAAGTTACATCTATCATTCTCAGGGCCTGTTTACATGGAGGTGGGGGACCCCAGGTAGGTGAGGGAACCCACTTTGGTGGATAACCCGCCTGTCCACATAATCTCTCATTTTAATTTGATCACGTTTACATGATAGGTGGGGTGACCCGCTGCATGTTACCTCACCTATCTGGGGTCCCCCACCTCCATGTAAACAGGCTCTCAGTCTAGGACATCGACGGGGCAGCTCGACAAATAACCGAAGACCTGAAGAATTTGCCTCATGGTGCTGTCAAAACACTAGCCTTCGAATCACCCCTGATAAAACGAAATTGCCTTTTATTGGCACCCGCTAAAAGCCGCAAAATGTGCCTGCAGATTTGGATTTAGCCATCACTTTACTCGGGATAGATATGGATGCCACATTGAGTTTTAATGACCACATAAAAAGTATTTCATCTTCTCGTTTGTCGAGTTTATGTCAAATTAATAGGGTAAAACATCTTTTAGACCAAAATAGACTGCAAAACAGTCGGGTTTTTTTCTCAAAATCAGTAAAGAAATCGGTAAAGCGTGCCGTAAGAGTCTAACGCGCGCCAAGCGCGCGAGCCTCTGTTTTCAGCCTCGTTCCAGACCTTTTGTTTGACTGCTCGCGCGTACTTGAATACGCAAAAATACGGACTGTTTTGCAGTCTAAGACCAAAACACTTTATTAAACGTCACCAATGCACTAGTCTTAAGCAAACTCTACTAATGTTCTTCTGTCTGGTCAAGGACGACGAATAGGAATATCGATAAATTACGGAATGTTCAAAACTTCGCAGTCAGAATGGTAACCCGTTCGCGTGAATTTGATCACATCACGCCTGGTCTTAGAGAAGTAAAAATGGCTGTCTGTCGCATCCATGCTTGTCTACTAGGGATGGCATACTGGTTTTCAAGTGCTTAAGGAGATTGGCTCCAGA